AAAAAGAAAGTCGTTAGAAGTTGGTGCTCCTGTGTATGAAAGTGTGGTCTCATAAATGTGCTGTGTTTGTGTGGACTTTTTTCCAGCTTTTAGCCACCGTCTTGTCTCAGTCTGCCAAAGCGAAGGAGCATCTGATGGAGCAATCCAAGTCTGTGGATCAGCCTCCAGGTAGGCCAGGCAGGTGACCAGAAAAGAAAGAAGGCTTTCTCCGTTTCCTCTTGTTGTTGCTTATTACTAATCTCACCGCCAAGTGTTTTAGGCATACTGTAATATTTGATAACACAAACCGAAGCACAAGCAGTAGGAAGCTGGTGAGAGAAAGAAGAGCCAATGGTTTCTAATAAAGAGGAGAAGAGCAGAACCAGGGAGCAAGAGAGTGGGATGAGTCTTAATCCACAGGTCTCTTAGAAAATGTCATCATTTACTTTTACACACAAAAAGATCTTGGCTTGTTTGGTAGACAGATGGCCAAGGCAGGGGATGTAGGAGGGAGTGTAGAAGGGTGTGATTGGTTAAAAAAAGGTTTGCTGTATGTTGGGAACCAGGAATTCTATTGGTTGAGCATCAAAACAATGAAGACGACCGATCGCAAGGCAGTTAAAGGAGGAGATTCGAGGTCAGATAGCAAGCGATAAACTCACCTGTTGATCGATCCAAGTATGCAAGCACAGGACAACGATTTGTGACTGGTCAACAATATTTCTCCTCACAGGCTCTGCCAGCTCCTCTCGGACATCGAGCCAATCAGGCTGTCCACTCCACGAAGCGCCGCCTTATGATGCCACGGCAACCAGGAAGGGGGAGGGTCCATCGGAGGGGAAGGTAGGACAGTCCCAAATCCCTACAGATTCCGCCTTTCATGCAAACACATACAGGCAGTCGCCACCATCAGCATCTAACTGCAGGATGATAAGAACGTAGCTTCTCAGTCACCACAACCACAACACTCACTCTCACACTTGTACACACACACACACACCAAGATGTCCCATCGGTTTCTCTCGCAGCTGGCTTCGTCCGTGCTGCGAGTTTTCGGATGCAGCCACGACACGGTGAGTGTGGGAGTGGATCCTGTATGAGCGTGAGCGAGGAATCGTGTGTGCGTGTGAGAAAATCCTGCATTTCTGTTATCTTTTACCTGCTGGCCATTGTTATTCGCCCCTTTTAGTTGCAGCTTCTCTTCTTCCATTGCTGCATTTTTCTTACTTTGCTGGAAAAACATCTGATCGTGCACCTGAGGGAAGGACATCCTAGTTAGAGATTGGCGGGTGTGTGTTGTGTGTGTGTGCTGGCAGGAGCCCAGCACTGTGCATAACGTGGGTGGACTTAGCACTAAAAGTGTGAAATCTGAGCTTGCACCATGTGCAATAAATTGTCGTTTACTGTACAGTGTATGTGTGCATGTTTGCCCATGTGTTTGACTTCACGTGTCATTGTACAATCGTTTCATGTTCTAAACAAAACCAAAAACAAAACAGTGAGCATATTTAAGTAGCAGGTGGTCATGGTGGTAGTGTGCATCGCCTGCCTGCAGTATATGTGTGCACACACTAGCATGTAAGCCATGTTCTAATGACCATCTGTTAGCTAGAGTCCTGATTCCTCTGCACCCAGCTTCACAATACTTCCCTAGACGGGTAACGTGGAAGAACGATGGGAAGAACGATGGGAAGAACGCCAGTGGTTCTTGAGGGACTTTGAGGAAGCAGCAGGGACACGGGAAAAGAGAGAAAGATCCTGAAAGAATGGAGAAAAACAAGAGTGACAGGAGGAATGTGGGAGAAGAAAAGCAGCGTGTGAGTGGGAAGAAGTCAAGCAGTGGTTTTCCAGTTAGACCGATTGCTTTTCCATCTGCTGTCACACAGCAGGACACTACTTTAACCATCATAATAAAGGTCTGGGTCATAACGAAGGTCACCAAGCAACAAATTTACCTGGGACTACACAGCATTTTTATTCCTTCGACGCTCACCCCATATATTGATACGGTGTTCAGTCTTGATTGGGTCCAGTTTATAAAAGTCAACACATGAGCCTCGTGAGAAATAGGTGCCTCAAAAAGAGACGTGCTGACTTGTGCGTACAGCCATACTGATGAATATAACAGTTACTGTGACAGATAGAGGGCACGCATATCATAACACCATATAAACAAACTTATCGAGGCAGAAAACTGAATCCTGTAGTTGTCCTACATGATCAATATCAAATCACCTGGAATATTCACACCACATAACAGCATTGATAACCTTTCCCACATTGTCCAACTTTTATTGCTACACATTTAATCAAACTTAATGAAATTCTTTAAAGCCACTAACTAATTGGTTTCTTAAAATCTGTATAAAGTATCAAAATCACCTAAATTTATTTAGTTATTTCAAAAACAATAACACTTGCTCACTCCAGTAGCAATCGTAAGAAGTCAAAGATTAGCTTAAAGTTACGTTTAACAGTAAGAGGCCTGTCGTTGACCCTGTGGTATTGTTGCACTGTAAAACAGGAGGGAAATGTTTGCTAGTCCGACTGTTGTTTAGCATGCTAAGCTACATCCCACACCCAGGATTTCCAGGGCTCAGTGGCTTCCCACTTTTCATGTCGCATCCTGGTTAGCTAACATCTGCCAGTCTAACAGACGCCAATCACAGATAAAACATGGACAGAAAGCTGAACTTGTGATGTGAATTTTTAACGTTTTTGAGTTAACATGCAATCAGTCAGAAAATCGGGGGAAAGTGTGCGAAAGCGAATGTGCATGCTTCTAATTAAGAGCAGCATTTTCTGGCGTCGCCTTTTTAGCAGCACTGTGCAAAACAAACAGTAGACACTATGTTTTTTCTCTGCTTTCCAGCTGTAAAGTGTAAGATACAGATTAGCCTGTTGTTGCTAATCTGACCTTCTGTAGTAGTTGAGATTCTGTCGACTGGACGTTTTCCCTTCCTAACCTTAGCCTGGTTTTCACTGCAGGACCAAGGCAGGCTGTCCAGGGCTATTTCAGTAGCCAGCCAGCTTATAATACCGCTGAATCATCCATTAATGTGTAAGAATTAGCTTAGGACCACCCTAAAGATGACAAGACAGGCACAATATGAAGTTTTATGGTCATTAAAATGTAGCCCCTCTTTTGCCCTACTTGGCCCTGCTGAGAAAAAAAATGGCTGTCGAAGAAACACATGGAGCCAGTGACCGCATGCCCCCTGTCTTCTCTCCCGTAGAGCTCAGAGGCCGTTGTCCAATGGCTGAGCGACTTTCAGCTGCAGGTCTACGCTCCAAACTTCCTGGGCGCTGGGTATGACTTGCCCACCATTAGCCGAATGACCCCGGAGGTAAGGCAACTAAACCCTGACCCTGACTCCCAGAGAGGTCGCAGGCACCTCCAAGGACCACAATGAGAACAAGTCTGCACGACTTTGATTTGTGTTGTCCTTGATGTTTTCAATATGCATGTAAATAATTTATTTTACAAAACAAAATCGCAAGTGAGCACAATTAAACCACTCAACCAACCACCTGCCTTTTCCTGCCTCGTGCCACACCTGCCCACGTTCACTTTCCTCCTCCCTTGATCATGTATTGCCTTCCCCCTCTGACTCCAGAAAAGGTTTGATGTGTGAACCCCTTTGCGTACTGTTGAGTCTCTAGGCTCTCACCAGCCCCACAGTATTAAAGTCTGGCATTTAGCCTCTGAAGAAAGGTCATAAAATGGCCATGAAGATAATGAGACATGAGTCATCTTGCTGTTTGTATCCCTATTTTTGCAAAATGTTAATGTTATTCTTTTGCGCACCAACCCATTCGTGCATTTATGAAATTCCAATGTTGCAAGGACAATATCAATTCTGCTTAGCGTTTATTAAAGGGTCAGGGTCAGGGTTAGGGTCCGTTGATCGGCGGACAAAGGCGGTTTCTCACAGCTTAAGTACAGTTTTTTGTTTTACACCGGTTTTTCCCGAAGTTGCAAAAGTATGACATCACAACATTCTGATTGGTCACTTGCAATGTTGATCCTGGAACAACCTTTAGTATGATGATCTGGGAACAACACCAACACGAGGATATCAGATCGTGCCAAGTTGTATGTCATACTTTATGTGTGGACCTTTAAAAGTAGTTCCTTTTTACTCAGAAGAGAATGTCAAATAAAGAGTTGCAGTATGGGGAAATTATTATTTGATGGTCTGTGAAGGTTCTCAGTCATCCAGGTCATCGTGGTCAAAGGAGCTTTGGTTTCACAATGAGCTCACCCAAAACTCTGGCTGATTGGGACCCACACCCAGTTTTACACCTTGGCTCAGGCGATTAGAGGATCATCAGGGGGGACACTCCCACTAGATTTAAATCTGGGACTCCCCACCATTTGACCTTAGAACTGAAGAAGCTTCTCGGATGAGACGTGAAACGTCTTCAAGCAACTTAAAGAAGTCCAGACGCTTTTCTTTGCAAGCTCCTTTGAGTAGTATTTGATGTTTTCGCGTTTAAATATTGTCTTCAGCCTAAATATGAATTAAAAATAAGCTCTGGTTTAAATGTTAGAATCAAGATTTTAAAACAAAGTCCATAAAAGACAAAAATCCTCCTTTGATGATACCTATAGTATTTTTACGTGTTTGTTGTTTCCATTTTAAGCCGCCGGTTGAACGCAGAGAAATTTAACACATTCAAAAACCAACTCAGTGAACTTCTGTTCAGCTTTGTGACCCTTCACCTCCAACACTGCTCCTGCTGCTGCTAGCTTTGAGGAACAATCCCTCCCTGCCACACTTAAAAACAAATAATTTATAGCATTCATAAATTACTTGTGTATATATGCACACTTTGTGCATGCTGAAGGGACTCAGATTAGCGATGGCTTAAAGGGCTTTTATCATCAGAGATGTGTCACTGAGCCGAGGCCTCGTCTCCTGGTTCGTCCCACAAAATGATTTATGCAGCCAAGTGTATGTGGCGGTGTAAATGTTGTATAAAAGCGTGTTCTCGGGTGTCCATAACAACTTCCAGTGAATTGCACTGAAGTCAAATGTAGCACTGGTGCCGTGCAGCGCTCTGTGATATTTCTGTCTTTATATCAAAGTGCGGTCATGTCTGCGTACCAGATCAGCCTGTTTTTTTTATTTTGGCCGCCTCCTTTCACTGCAGACATTTGCTTTTGTTTGCCATGCTTTTCTTATGGGTTTGACACATCTGCGCTCTTCTCCCTTTAGCCGACAGAAGCCTTCATCAGACATCACGCCATCTCTTGTGTTGCAAATTTTCTTCTGTGTGTGAGTGTGGAAGACAGAGAGAGAACGACAGAGAGTGATGGGCACTTGGGGAGATTTTCTTGTACTTTGTGGAATAAAAAAGCCTGAACATATACTCACAGCTTCTTACTTACATGTTTGTGTGTGTGTAGGATCTGACCGCTATTGGAATAACTAAACCAGGTCACAGAAAGAAGATAACATCAGAGATTAACAAGCTAAGTGTTACAGAGTGGCTGCCTGAGCATAAACCTGTGAGTACACACACACACAGACTTTTTAAACCAGTCAAATAGATGCTTGTATGTCATTGCTATGCCAAAACTATGATTGGTTGATCATGACATCCTGTGGGCTAATATTCTGAGCTACAATGGGAAACTACTGCCTGGCCTGCTCAGCGCTCTTATTTCTGGCATTCCTACAGGCTAGCCTAGGAGAATGGCTATCTTCTATTGGTCTAAGCCAGTACCACCAGATGTTAGTGCAGAACGGTTACGAGAACATCGACTTCATCACGGACATCACTTGGGAAGACCTACAGGAAATAGGCATCACCAAACTGGGTACGACAAACAAACAATGCAGCGCTTGTTTTGTTTTTCCACTGTGAAACATGAAAGCTAAGCGACAGTATCCCCTCTAATCACAGGACTCTGCATGTGGTGTATAATGTGGCCAACATTTACATTTGGGCATAGCTTTATGTATGTTAGCTGCACTTAATAGAGATGAAAGTAACCAGTAAACTCAAAAATAAATGAGTGACGTGATTAAAATGCAGACTTAAAGCCAGAATACGTATATAAGCATATGCAGAGAGTTTGGAAAGTATT